CTCGGGACTTCTCTCCGCAGATGACTGTTCGGGTTCCCGGAGAGTGCCGCAAGGAGGCGACGCCCACAGCCGCGGGTGGGCACAATGCTGGCCGCTGAGGACTGGTGCAGAGTAGAAGGTTGTGGGGAGCCGATTTGTGTTTTAAACATCATAATGCCCGTTCAGTTTTTGAAACCGTTAATACTGGAGAGTTTAAGCACTGAAGTTGACAACTTAAGCGCTCAACCAGAACTATGATCAGGTCCTGCCCAGGGCGGACTCCAGGGGGTGGAAGGTGTTTGTTCTGAGTGGAGGAAAGGGAGGGGTGGGTCCCAGAGCAGATCTACAGGGATGCAGATTCACACAGACAAGGGGTCCAAGTCTCCAAGACCTGAAACTCCCTGCCCTGTCTTCATTAAAAGCATAATGGAGATGAAAAAGAAAAGAAAAAGCAGGGCGTTGGTGGCGCACGCCTTTAACCCCAGACTCGGGAGGCAGAGGCAGAGGCAGAGGCAGACGGATCTCTGTGAGTTCGAGGACAGCCAGGATAGGCTCCAAAGCTACACAGAGAAACCCTGTCTCGAAAAACAAAAACAAACAAAACAATGAATTCTTAGAAAGGAAGTTATTTTATTAGAATTTAAAACAGTTTAGGCAGTGAAATCATTCTAACAGCAAATGTACTCTCTGCTTACAATTAAAACCTATTTTAGTTCTGGTAATGACATGAGTGACAGGTCCATCCAAGTTTCTTCCAACAGAAAAACCCACAGCTCAAAACTTATGGAGGAAATATGACTAAGCCAAAGGACTTCACATGTTTACCACATAAGTGATACACATTCAAATACCATGTAGTACTTTCTTAAAAAGTCAAGACACTTGAGAGCCCATTAGCAAGCATGGAGACTGAAGCAATTGGTTAGGCACAGGACTACTAACTAAATCAGGCACCATAAAGCCCATGTCTTTCTGTTTTCTCACCTGTAATAAGTGAGATTCACTCTTGAGACAATTGTTTGGGTGCTTGCTTTTAACAACAAGGAACTTAATGATGGAAAAGTTTCCTGTCATGATGGTAACCTCAAGGAATGAAAATGAGCATTCTTATACATGATTACATTGACATGAAGTTTCTTACTTACACACTCTGATTTCCATGTCCTGATTCCTCAGGTCTAAACACATGTGAATCTACTGTAGGGTTTTAGAGAGCCATGTATGGACTCAATAGTACAGTAATGCAAGCTAATACTGAGACCTATGTTTTAACTCCTTGAATTTTTAACAAGTTATGAGGTAGCTACCATTATTTCCCCCATTTCTGAGGGGGAAACCAAGGCAGGAAGAAGTCGTTTAACTTGCTCAAGGTCATAAAATCAGTTAGTGGTGTAAGTGATGTCTGAACCCACTTAACCTGGGTCCAGAGTCCACAGCATATAAGGTCTTCACTACTATGCTGCACTACTCACTATAATACCTTGCACAATCACACTGCTGGAACTGATGCTATTGCATCTCACGGTGTACAGGAAAATAGCAAAGAAACACCCAGTTTTGCCTGTCTTGTTTTTGAAGCCGAGTCTCACTCCAGCCCAGACTGGCCTTGGCCTCCTCTAAATTTGGTGATTATAAGCATGAGCCACCAA